TGCTGTCTATTTTTGCTAGGATCTGAAAAACTTAGTGCAAAACACAATCCAAAGGAAATGTGGTTATCACTTAGCAATTAAATGACTGTTTTACAAAGGTTGGATGATGATTGACAAAACACTACCTAATTCTTCAAGTTAAAAGCATAATCCTATCTGACTGAAATATTTTTATCAACTACAATTTAAGCAAATATCCTATGGCACACAAGTGGAGTGGGGTATTCCAGACAGGTCCCTGACGAGCTCTCTTTAAGCTTTTGGCTATACAAACTCTTGCAACTTCCTGAGCACCTGCGAGCTTGTAGCGATGTCAGCAAGATTTAATGCTGCTGCATTCCAATTAACGCTGGCTCTTCAGGACAGAACTCTATAATGTATATATGAATTACTCCGATGTTAGTATTTTTTCTCAAAATGTCAACTGAAAATCAATTTCAAAAGTCTTCTCAATAGGAAAACTTGGCTCAGAACTGTTTACTACAATACTGTATCACACATGTTAAAACAAAAAATAACGAAATTATCTTCAGTTCAGACCTACAGGTTTGACAGGTTATGCAGTCTAATAACTTTCCTTTTGGTTAAAATAAGAACATACTACCAGTGAGGCCGTAAAGTAAAATTCAATGAGGGTTTACAATTGAAAAATATTTATAATCTGTTGTGTTGTGGACAATTTCACTTATAATGGGAAAAGGCAAGTTGGGCCTTTATAATGGCTGGTTATAAAATAATTCAACACAATACCGAGAATATTGCAGAGTATTGAGTTAATGGCGTGTTGCCCCATTCTATTCTGTCTTTTATGCCTCATTACTTTTAAAAAGAGCTATTTGAGGCTTCGTAATTGCTGTTTTTTGGACTCTGAAACTGTTCTATTAAAGACAAAGGCTGTGATCATGCACAACCAATTACTAGTTCAATATGGTATCCACTTTATAGCAACAAATTATTTTTGAAGCAGAATGGTCTCCCTGTTAAATCCCAACCTTAGCTGGAGAAACCAAACTGTAAACTTTTTAAAATGGAAAAATGCGAGAATTTTTTTTTTAAAGGAATTCAAAAAGGGGCACAGTAAAGTAGTTTATTTGTTGCCAGAGAAAAAGAGCTATAATTCTAATAAGACTGTTCTGTACTAGCAAAATTCAGCAAAGAAGATTTACTCTTAATGAATATTTGTACATCAGTTTCTTAACAAAAGTACACTCATGTTTTAGTGTTACATGGTGCTTCCTTCCTCAAGAAGTTTACTGAGTTTTGCTACAGCCCGTTACAAGAGCAATCCAATGTGAAACAAAGGTCAAACAAACTATACCAAATGGTATTTCAGAACATATTAGCTCATTGTATAATAACTTTACGCTGCAACACATCTGTGTACTGCCACAGTGACAATCACAAAAATCAACAATCACAGTGTCTTCACAGCTGGAATGACGCTTTTACTGCCTAAATGGTCCCTGTGAAAATATGATTGGTGTGGACTGTAAACAACTTTGGGCAAAGTAGTCTCATGCAATTTATTAAGCAACAACATTCTCAAATCTTGAGTCCTCATCCTTGATTAGCTGCTTTAAACAGTATACCGTACAGCATAATTATTGTGATCTTGTCACATTTCATACCATTACTTTACCAACATGCTGCATTCATATACACCCTAGGTAAAGAAAGTTAGGTAGCTTTCAAACAAGGACAGAGAACACATTAAATGAGAGATTGCCAGATGAAATAAAACAGTGTGGGAATATTGTCGATTAGTGACTTGCTACAGATAGCTTTTGCCTCTGTGTTGTAATTGGCGTATCCAAAAAGCCTTTTTATTGGCCTATGATTGTTGCATAGACTTGCATCTGATAGAATGAATTAAGCTTTGCTGGTTTATGTGCCTGCAATGATCTTAGCAGCATTACAGAGATGTTTTAAAGGATGGAACAGTTATACTGTACAAAACAATAAGCAAACTTGCTCAAAATGATAGTTTGGGAAGGTTTATGTTTAATATTTTTCTCCTTTATTGTTATAACTGTTTTTTGAAATATTAAAAAAAATCTTGTCAGTTATCCTTTCTGAGTAAAGAAACTTTTGATTTTATTTTTACTTTGAATCTATAAATGTTGAAAGTAGCACATCTCCAATCGGTGATGTTCAATTACTCATACAACAATGCAGCTAGCATTTTACTCAGTGAAGACAAAATGTAAAAATGTATTATCCTATTGCCAGATTCTATAAAACACCAAAAAACAGTTATTACTCCTACTTAAACACCATGAGTTAGTTGGTTAAACACCTGTCTAGTAAAAAGGAGACTGAGTTTGAATCCCAGATATACCTTCTTCCTTTTCCTATACAGACGTGTTAAAAGGACTGAACCTTTTTAGTCTTGAACAGAGAAAACTGCAGCAGGACCCGATACAAGTATTTAAAATTCTCAAAGGCACTGACAAAGACAACAATCAGAATTCTTTAGAATGAACAGTAAATCATGATCCGGGGAACACAAGTGGAACAATATGGAAGTGCATTTAAAACTAAGAACTTGAGAAACTTTTTCATGCAACTATGTTATCTGACATCCAACTGTTCCTTGAAAGAAGTCAAAGTGTTATTGTTGGATCTGGCAGCTACTTACCAAGTGGACTTGATAGATCAAATTGCAGCCAGTTATTTCTAATTGTTCTTGTTTTTAATAGATTACTACTACAACTACTATAACTACAAAGAATCTACATATTAAAGGAACAGAAACACCATGAACTGCAGACTGCACATATACTGATTTCTCTCGATTTTGTTCATCACTCCTTGGTCTGCTGCGTGACAATTGCCCTCATTATAATTTTAAATGGTGCACCCATCTCCATAATGGATTATTGTCACATGCAACTTAAGTTGGACACCAACATCCAGGTTTATAATCTATGCTTCCTGATGAGGAAAGTCTAGAAAATTGATTAATTATCCATCGCCTTTAAATTTCTTTTTAGTCTTTGCTTTGCCCATTTTTTTTTTCCTGTTGGTTTTGCTTGATTCTGTGTATGTATTAGACCCTTAATGTCACCTACTATGAGACATCTGGGACTCTTGTTTGATCTTGAGTTCAGTTTTGATGCACAAATAAAAGCCATCTGTAAAGTCTCAAAGGTTCACCCTAGAACCATTGCCCACATTCAGGCTTTTCTTGATTAAACTGCAATAGAAATCCTTTCATCACATCTCTGCCGGGTTACTGTAATAAACAGCTTTTACAATGGTCTCCCTACTTGCTCCCTAAACACACTTCAAATGTCCACAACTTGGCTGCATGACTTCAAACGCTAAAACCCCAATTCTGGCACCTCTTCACCAGCTCCCCAATACCTAGCACCTTCAGTTCAAAATATTACTCTTAACTTTTAAAGCTCTAAGTAGCAAATTCCCACAATACTTATCAGAATTTCCTATGCACCAGGCAGAGCTGTATGCGCTGGTGAGGCTCATCTGTTAGTGGTAGCTTCTTATAGTATCTCTATGCGCCTGCTTGCTCCATATCTCTGGATCTCACTCCCTGTTAATCTGAGAAAGGTAAACTCTCAATCAGTTTTTAAATCTAAACCAAAAAGACCTGTCTGTTTAGTCAGGCTTTTGATTTGTGTACCTCTTCTCCTTTATCTCTATCTTTATATCTGCTCAAATGTTATTTCATTTTTTTCCCTCTTTTTTTTGTTTGTTTTTTACTGTTGGTGTACACGGTCAATAAATTAAGTCACTATCCTTCTCTTTATATTGGTGCAGCAGCAATTTTTTTATGAGTTGTTAAGGCTTTCTGAGGCCTGGGTTTACTTTATACCTTTTTACACAGAAGCTTCATTTCTATATTTCACCTTTATAACAAGCACTTTGTTATGCAGTCTTCACCACAGATGAGCTGCTAAATTAACAGGCTATCAATATATGCCAGCAGACCATATACCTTTTTTCTAGACTGTATAAAGTCAACATCTAACAAGCGTTAAACTTGACTGTTTCCCCTTTGTTCAATGCTGTTTGT